GTCCACTGCTTCTCTGTTCGCGTCCGTACTGTGTTCCCAAGTAGCAGGAAAAAGGCAGCCCTTGGACATCGTTGAACTGGGAGAATCAGAGGAAGAGGAAGTGCCGGAGCCTGAAAAAGATTTCTAGCAGTTCCTGCCTCCAGATATCAGTGAGATAACAGGAGAATATTGTGCCTTGCACTCAAGTGCACAGGAAAGTGTATGTGTGGAATAGGAACAAGTTGTAGGAGATGGAAGATATTCTCATCCAAATAAAAAGCCAGCTGTAAGCCTTGGAGGAAAGTCCTCTGAATCATATTTAGAATCCAAACAATGGAGTTGAGGGCACAGTGACCAAAAAGAGTGAGAAGGCTGAGGAGAAGGCCAAGGAGATTGGGAAAATGGCAGAGGTGCTGGTCGACCTAGTCCGTTGGACAGAGAAAAGCAATTGTCTTGAAGGAGGGTTGGTGGTTTACAGCCAAAGGAATCTGCTAAACTGATGGAGATTGTCTGACACTCTCCAGAAGCTGAAACCAGAGAACCTTCTGTTTTCTTTCTCTCTTTTTTTTTGTCTACATGCTGTACTCACTTACTCTATGTTTCTGTGATGATCAGTGGTTGATGACCTCATATGAATTGTGACTGTTAAATGTTTTTGTTTGAGGAAGTAATTTTTATTTGGAAAATGCTCTCACATATGAGAATTAAGGCCTAGAATGTAAGCTTTTGCACCAGTCACCTTTGTTCCTGGGCTTTGGTTATTTTTAAAATTGAGGTGATTTGGTCTTTCTTGCATGACCAGATAGCTCCCTGGACCTTCTGGTCTATGTATGACACATGAGACTCAGAGCTGGAGTTCTCCAACTCTGGAGCTGCGGAAGGAGCTGCATTACTTCTAGAAGAGGACTCCATGCAGTAACTGCTAAAGAAGCTGAACAAGGGACCAGATTTCCACTGGGAATGTGATGCGCCTGACTTGGCTAGGACTGATGAATCAGAAGAGAGGGTGGAGGATGGTATTGTCTGTATTTGGGATTTTAACTTCTGTGTGGGACCAAACGAGGAGAGATGTCTTTTGTTCAAGACTTAAATTTTATCTGGGACAATATCTGACGTAACCTGTCTGGTCAGTTTCTTTGGACAACTTAACTCATGGAACCTAGAATAACAAATGAGATCTTGGTGTTCTGTACAAGTCGAGGTAATAACCTGATGCATTTCAGAGGATTCTGGGCATAAAATAAAAGAGATATTTGCCAAGGCCCCTGAAGGGCAGGGAAAGTAAAGTGAGGACTGTCTATGTTGGACCCTACACTGCACAGGGAATAGGTATCTTCAAGCTTCATAAGTTGTCCAGCTATAAGTTTGTTTGAGTAGCAGACTTGACAAGTATTTAAGGTCAAAAGATCCTACTATGAGGGAAAAACATTACCATGTTAATAAAAGTATTAATTTGCTTGAAAAAGAAAGGATACAATAAAGTATTGAAAGCCTAGTTGGGGAGGGAAAACAGGCACATATGAATGGCATTATTAACAATACAAGACAATGTTAAGGTAAAAGATAAGTTGAATGATAGTTCATAAATTTCAAAGTAAGAAACCAGAGACCAGAGTAGTTGATAAAAGAGGTGGAATTTGACCAGTGCCTTGAAAATATGATAGGATTTGAAGGAGGAGATCATTCAAGTCAAGAGAAGATATCATCACATCAACTAAACAATTTTTACTACCCTATGTGTACAATACCATGTCAGGCATTGTGAAGAATTGATACAGGAACAAGACACATTATTGGTCCTCAAAGAGATTACAGTTTAACAAGTTGAGCCATGATCATGGCTGGCTCTTGGAGTGCTGAAAAGACCCAACAAAGGGATATTTTTGGAGGTGCCATGGCAAATAATGTCGGGTAATATAAGAAATGTGTCCAAGTCCAGTTTTTTCAGGTTGCACACCAAAGATGAAACTAGCACATGTATGAGCTCAACTGAAAAATGGTTTGCTTATTTTTAAGAATTCAATAACAGGGTTGTATGAAGGCAGTACGGAAAGAATAGTCAGTAACTGAAGGAGTCTTAACTACAATAACTTGTAAAACTCAAGACACAATATCCCTTTCGAGTCTAAGTGGCTGTCTTTGGTTCCAATTTTTTTAACCACTTCCAAGTCAATGAAGCCTGGGTTATGCTTAGCAGCATAAATAAGGCACATCTGTACATATCTGAATTTTTTATGCTTTTTCACTGATGCCCTTGGGGGGCTTACAGTGAAGGGAAAACTGTCCCATAAGCCCCTCCACCTCCTTTTACCAGGTAGATATGTATTGGGGAGACAGTTCACAGAGAGCTTGAGAGCCAGGTGTAGATTTGCCAAACAATCTTCCTGAGCAGTAACATGTTGAAAGTGACCTTTAAGAAACTGTATTCAGCCAAATAAAATATACAACGTTAATATAAAAGCAGGTTCCTTGAGAGGAATAACAAACCATCCTTTAACAAATGGTAGAACCTGAGAAGATGCAACAGAATAGGACCTTTTGATTGAAAGAAGGAAAGAGAGGACAGTAGGGACAAATTAGAGCCAGTCCCACCAATGAAGGCATCCATGGGGCCACATGCAGACACTGGTAATCTGTGGGAGGGGACATACATAGGACAAGCAGAGGCTAGCAGAGGCTCCCCTGTTTGGCTTGGAGATGACCCTGAGCACCAGTGAGATTTAAAAGGTAGAGCACAAGGCAAAAATAGTGCATGGATGAAAATCATTCAAAAAAGGAAGAAAGAGGGGAAAGAGAAGGGGGATTGAAAGTCCCTGATGAAGAGGCCATGTGGAGACCAGCATACTGCCTGAAAGTCTAAAAGAGCCAGGGATTTCCTGTGCCTCCACGATGCACTGCTTCTACAGCTGTGCACCAGAATTTTCTTGTATGTGGAAAAATACATATATTTAAACACTAGAACACTCTGAGTGCATCAAGACGCCCTGAGACATTTGTGAAGAGAGAATGACTGGTGGGGGTGCGGGGGGCGGTGAGAATGATTTCTACAAAGAAAAAAAATTCCAATGTGTTTTTTTTGTCCTAGGCTGAATCCAGGCCACATGTCCTTTGATGGGAATGATAGACTCCACTGCACTATTTAAATTGGTGTTTCTCTCTCATTTTTTTTTTTTTTTGAGAGGTTTAAGTACATAGTTGATGCCTTGAAAATCCTATGCCCTTATTTTCCAGTGCTACAGAATTAATATTCTTGAACTTATGCTGTTCTGATGTTGTTTCTTAATCTCCTCCCATTAAAACTTCTCAATGTAAGTTTTATATACATGTTTATGTAACATCTATGACAAGAATATCTACAAAATATGGTATTCAGATTTAATCAGCTTGTATTGAGTACTCCCTGTGAACCAGGCAGTGTGCTGTGCAATAGCATAGAGCACATACGTCATCCTTCTATTGTTGCTGTGAAGTAGGCTTTTAAAAAAATTATTTATTCACAGGAAGTTGCAAAATATAGTACAGAGAGGTCTGTGTATTCTTGACCCAGTTTTCCTCAGCGGTATATCTTACCTAACTATAGTACAACATCAAAACCAGGCAGTTAACATTGATCCATTGTGTGTGTGTAGTTCTCTGAGATTTTATCACATGTGTAGAATTGTGTAACCACTGCATTCGAGATAAGAACTATTCTATCACTGCAAAGATCTCCCTTGCGCCACCCCTTTATCCGCATCCACCGCCATTCCTAATCCATGGCAATCACGAATCTGTTTGACATCTTTGTAGTTCTATAATTTCAACAATGTGACATAAATGGAATCAGAGAAGATGTGACCTTTTGAGACTGGATTTCTCACTCAGCACAATACCCTGAGGTCCACGCAAGATGTTGCACGTACCAATGATTTGTCCTTTTTATTCCTGAATAGCATCCCATAGTGTGGATGTACCATAGTTTGCTTAACCATTCACCTGTTGCAGAAAATTTTAGTTGTCTCCAGTTTTTGGTGATTACAAATAAAGCTGCTATGAACATTTGTTTGCAGGTTTTTGTGACATTTTTTTTTTTATTAAATTGCTTTTCAGAGCTAAGACTAAATAAGTTATCCAGAGCACTGTGCAGATTTCCAAACCCAGATGTTTTTACTTTATCTCCTGTGCTGTTTCCATGATCCCATATTAACCAAGAACCAATTGTTCTGCAGAAAGTGTTGAAAAGTAATGATTACATATTTGACTTTTTTTTTTTTTTTGAGGAAGATTGGCCCTGAGCTAACATCTGCTGCCAATTCTCCTCTTTTTGCTGAGGAAGACTGGCCCTGAGCTCACATCCATGCCCATCTTCCTCCACTTTATATGTAGGACGCCTGCCACAACATGACGTGCCAAGCAGTGCCGTGTCCGCACCTGGGATCTGAACCGGCAAACCCCAGGTCGCCAAAGCAGAACGTGTACACTTAACCGCTGCACCACTGGGCAGGCCCCTGACTACTTCTTGATAAAACATTGGTTTCAGAATAATATCTGCTCAAAACTTGATTGCTTTTAGCATTATGGATGCACATTGATTCACTCATTTATTCACCACAACTATTATTTGAGTACCCATTAGGTGCAGGCCCTGTGCCGAGCGTCGGTCGAAGCAGGTGCCTGCCACATGTGGACTTTAACAAAATACTGTTTGCTGCATAGAGGTAGCTTGCTCCATGTTCGATGATTTTAACAGTTTTAAATTTTAGTTGGAAAATGTTTATTCAGAGTTAATGTGACTGCTATAATAATATTTCAATGTGTATTCTTAAATTTAAATTTGCTGAAAGATTTGGGTTAATATATTTTGCCTTATCTTAGGAAAGCAATTGCTGAGCATGCATGTACAAATACACAATCTAATTTTGTAAGGTGTGCAATTGAGTACTTCTTTCAAACAGGGGTATGGGTCAGATGGATTTTCATTTATAGCTTGTTCACAAATTAATGATTTCTTCTGCTTATTCTATGTCCCTTTCTTCCAATAGCATGAAAAATTAATCAACCATCCACAGAGAACCAAAAGAATTTCTACAGATCCTCTGGGTAAGGAGTATTTGCTGTGTCCTCATTACAGTGGTGCCCTTTTTCTCCTCTATTTTGTATTTTATGTGAATCTTTTAAGAAAAAAGAACAGAGAACTTTGCAATTAAGCAACCGTTAGGTTTATCAGCCTAATAATTGAATTTTCCTTCAGAAGCCATACACATATAGTCTAAATCATTCTCAAATATGGATGTAATTAAAACTGTTACTAAAATCTACAAGAAATATGAATGCTACTATTATTTTACTAAGATAACTAGTAGTTGCTTAGTTTAGTAAACAGACAACTATAGCTGGTTCTGAAATATGGACTATTAAGTTGTAAATCTTAAAGTGTGGTCAATTCAAGTCTACATATGAAGGCAATAGAGCTATATTGGTATGAAACCACAAAGGAAACGTAATGTTTGATTGTGGTTATGTGTAATTCAATTACATAAATAGGATGCAGATTTCAGGGCAGAATTTGACACTTTTATTCTATTGTAGCCTTTGAAACAATTCATTTTGTGATGTTAATAGTTACTACTGTGATAATTTATTGGTCTTCAAAAGACATCAGTGAGTGTGTTTAGTCAGGCCCATCACTAATGGCATAGCATTCCATTTAGGGGTTATCTTTATGGATTTGTACAGAAAACTTTACTGACTTACATTGGAAGTAAGTAGGATGAGAATGACTCTTAGTGTTAGACACTCTCTCAGAAGCAATAAAACTGTTTTCAAAGAGAGAGCAGATGATGCGGCAAAAACAAAACAAAACAAAACAAAAAAACACCAAAGCTCAAACCCAAACCAACAGCAGCAATAGATGAAATCTCAGCAAGTTTAATGATGTTGTTAACTTTTGAAGAATTCGATGTTTAAATAAAAGCATTCTCACTACCCTTGTCAACAACCACCAGAGAGAACAAGGGTATAATGATCTTTCCAATGCGTGCCAGGAAGTCCTAGGCTGTTACACAGCATGGTCTTGCATGAGCAATGACGTCTGAGTTGCTGCAGGAAGGATGATGGCAGATGAAGTTAGAGCAGGATAAAACTACGAGAAGTTTTAAATGCTAAGGTAAGAAGTTTAGACAATAGGAGGCACTTACAAGAGATTTTTTAACAAGGAACGGATAAGATCAGATTAGCTTTGAAAACTTCTGTTAGTTGTGTGGAAGACAAAAATCAGTCAAATCTGATAGCAGAGATATGAGGTAGGACCTTGTTTTTGCAACACTCCAGAAAGGAGAGGTGGGACAGTAAGGCTGCAAAGTTGGGGAAATGCCTGAGACATGTTTAGAGTTAGGGCCAGTAGGACTTGGGTGCCTGGGATGAGAAATAGGTTTTGTGAAATTTGAATGACATTACACGCTTTAGCTTACTCACCTGAGAGGCCACAGTCACTAGGAAAGTGAATAGAGTGAAGGATCAGGTGGAGAGGGGAAGGCCAAAGTTGATTTTGATTTTGGAAATACGGAGTTGGAATTGACTGTGGTATACGCTGGTAAAGATGATTCGGAGACGAATATTGCAAAGGCTATACCAGAATTTAGGAAAGACAGCCAAAGATGAAGATATAGTAGATCTGGGGTATTTCGCGCAGAGGAGTTGGTTAAGGCAGGAAGAGTTGATGAATTCCTCGAGAGGGGAGGACAGAAACAGAAGAGGCCTCAGAGAGGAAACAGTAGCTCAGTAGTATTAGGAGGTAGAGAGTCAGCAAAGGGGAAAGAGAAGGAAGAGGAGAACCAGGCTGGCTGTGGAACCGAAGGGAAGGAATAAAATGCTTTGTGGAAGCCAGAGAAGATGCTGACTGAGAGTCAGTTGCTGTAAGTAGTAATTAGGAGGCCTCTAGGAAGCTTGGAAAGAAGGGCTTCAAGAGCGTTCTAAAAGAGGGCTCAGAACTCCTGAACAAGGGTTTAAGGAGTGAGTTGACTGTGATGAACTCAAGGCATCAAGTTTATATTAGGTGTGGAAAGATTTTATGGTAAAGGGAAGGGAGAGAGAAAGAGGAGAAGAAGCAAGAAAAGAGGAGGCTTGAGTGTGTTTGTAAGGAGCATGGGAAGAACCTGTGGCGACGAGGTGATTAAGGAACAGGCGGGCAGGAAATTACTTGATGAAAAACACGGTGAGGGACAGAATCTGGCGAACACAGAGGAGTGAGGTTTTGTAAGAAAGTGATTTTTGAGATGAAAACAAGGTTATGAGGACTCAGGTCAAATGGCTTGGGTAAAGTTGGAGAAACAGACACTGGCTGAGTGAAACAGAAAGAGAGTGAGATTGGGGCTTAAGGATGGCAGAAAAGTTTAGGGGCACTGCTGTGGAAAACTTTAAGTTGAATTCAGGAAAAAGATTTTTTTAATGGGTTTATAAGCCGCTAAGGGTTCAAATGGTGTAAAAAGTGTAGAGTTTGTTGATCACATTCAGCATAGTTTCATAACCCTGGGCGTCGCAGGAGTTGATTGCAGTGTTTATATAGCAGGATTGGCAATTGACAAACTGAGAACAATGAAAGCCACAGAAGACAACAGATTTTAAGGTGGATGCAACACTATTCTTGATGTTCATGGCTGATCATTAGGAGCGGTATGGGTACAGAGGTATGTGAGATCCAGTAGAGATGACTGGGTGACTGGGGACATCAAAGGAATCATCACTGTATTAGTGATGGGGGCAAGAAACATACTAAGCAGGAGCAAAGGAGCAGAAGCTGTGAAAGTTTAGAGATGGTGGCCAGCAATAATATTGAGAAGCTGAGACCATGGAGGTGGAATAGTTCTGGCTGATGATGAAACATGAGGATTAGCCATGAAAGTTAGTTTCTAATATGGAGTCAAGGCACAGGTCATTGATGCTGACAATATTAAGAAACCCTGTGGTCAGTGGTATGACATTATCAACTGCATTGCTGATGATGTTGCCTGCTGATGGCAGGAGAGAGACGATGTGGATGGGGAGAAGAAGGCCTACCCATGTTGCATGAACATTAAAATGAATACCCTGCGTGATGAAAGCAGGATGTTGACTTGAAAGGGACATTGGAGAGCAAAGATGTGCTTGTTCCATTAAATCAGGTGCAATTTGTGTGAGTAGGTAGCTGGAAGGAATAGTTGAGTAAAAGGTGGCAGACACTTGTTCACACCGGAGCAGGGAAACTGGTGCAGGGGTTAGCATGAGAGTGAGAGACCATGACTGTGATGCAGGCTCGGGCTGGTGGATGGAAAGAGGGAGACAGTAGGGCTTAGGGATTTTACTGAGAGTGATGGATCTGAGTTACACAATGAAAAAATAACCACCAATCAACAACAGAAAAATGGAATCCTGAGTTTAGGTGGTGGACAGGAGTTGCAGGGTAAGGGAAGGGGTATGCTGAACTTAGAGGATATATTCAGAGGTCATGTTTCTGGTTCTAAATAGTCCAGAAGCCAGGAGGAAAGCTGGGGTAAAGGACTTTCCACAGAACTGCTCTTTGGGTAGCGGAGCTTGGTGAGTTTGTGTGTATGTGTAGTCGGGGAGGCGGGTGGTGGTGGTGAGGATTGCCAAGCTGCTGGTATAATTTATGCATCAGATTAGTATTAATTAAGAAAAGGATTTTATGAACCTAAAAATATCCTTTAACTACTCAAAGCATGGTTGGGGACCCCTGCATCAGCATATCATCTGGGAACTTGTTAAAAATGCCAAGTTTTTCCCCCACCGTAGTCCTACTTAACTAGACTATCTGAAGCGGGGCTTAGAAACCGTGTTAACAAGCCCTGCAGGGAAAGTTAAAATTTAAGCATTTCTAACCCTCTCCCATAGTTTAGTTGTCTCAAGAGAAGACCCTAGAAATGGTGGGGATTCAAAGGCTCTTAACTGCCCACCTGGGTGGTCCCAAATCTTTCTAATGCTGAGAGGCCAAAGTGGAAAGCACGCAGATTCCGTGGGAACAAGTGTGGAGGGTTAGATACTCACATCCTCCAGGAAAGAGTCCTCATGCTGCGTGTTCACGTGTGCCTGACAGACGCCCTGTGGGAGAACTTGCTCTACTGGCTGGCGGAGGAGCTCTCGGAAGAAAATGCCGAGTGTCTCTCCTCATCCCTCCCTCTGCGCCGCAGCACCATTCAGCTCATCAAACTGAAGAACCCCGATGATCTCACTGAACAGATCCACGCACTCCTTTGCTCCTGGAAAAAATCACTCCCAAATTCCACCGATAAACTCCGCCTTCTGGCTCGCCATCTCCGCAAGATCGGCAGGAGCGATCTTTCAAAAGAGCTCAAATTCAAGTGGGAAAATAAAGTGTTCACTGAACCACAGCCGTGGTTTGCTATGGCAGAGTAATGCCAGCTTGCTCCTTCTTTTGCCCTAGAAAAAGGTCAGAGTTGGTTTTAAGATTGTTTCTGTCAATATTTTACCAGCAGTTCTCAAGTAATGTTGTTTGAAGTGAATCTTTTTGATTGATGTGCTGTTGAGACAAGCGGAGAAGCACTAATCAGGCCATAAGAAGCATTCCTGGGTTTGAGCGTCCTTCATGGTTCAGAGATGTGTGTTCTGCAAGCATGACTGTCTTGAGTTCAGCCAAACCAAATAGCGTTGTAATCGAGTTTGCCCTGCTTACATTTTAATAGCTGAGGTTGCTTTCTAAGTGAAAAGGAAAGATAATGACATGCAGAATCTCTTTTTTTTATTGCTACCTACATAAAAGTAAACTAGTTATGCAGGATTCCAAGCAACTAATTCACATTATGCGCATACCATGGAGCCCGCAGGTAACAATGAGAAAGAAATTGGGCTGCAGAGCCCTGGTGTGGAAGATGGCAAATCACTTTAAGAACACAGACAAGCTTGATTAAGATTAAAAACAGAGTAACACTTCAACCATTTACTGCCACAAATTTTTCTTTTATTAAAAACGTAGCTTGGAATAGGGAAAATCTCATATTTTAGTATGAGTGAAATGAGAGAGTGCACAGAAAATGAAACATCAGTGAAAGAATTCAGGGCCTTTTTCACCTGCTTAGGAAAACAACCTGCTTTCAAATCAGTTTGGCAGAAACCTTATTACTTAAGCTCTATATGTGCATCGTTAAAAAAACCTACCTGTAAAAATCCCCAAAACTAAAATAAAAAACTAATAATCCCAATGCCCTCTATCATTGATAATCCTGATCCTGTGTAGCATATAAGCTTTGAGACCTTGGAAAGCCTAAAGCACTGGGGCTCCCCAGTGTGATACCTGTGGGGGATTGCTGTTACCAAATTGCTGTTACCAATTCGTTAATGCAAAACCATCGGGGCCTTGACCTGCAAACATCCGTAGTGATTTGTTTATATTATTGAATACCTGAAAATTAATGAAATTGGATGGAACATTAAATATTTATATGGTTTTGAAATGTAAAGACAAGATTTCCTTCTACAAATTAACCAGGGACTTAGATGTCTATTTGGTTATATATTGGAAAAGAGGACTCCAATTTTCCAACACATTCCTATTAAGAAACATTTTGTTAGTCAAGATTTGTATTATTTTTACATGTTTCCAAAAGGTACAATATTTTTCATGTGTCCTTGGAATGAAGGAAACACTGAAATGTTTATTGTTCTTATGACTACAAAATAACAAAAAGGTAAAGAAAATAAAATTCACATCTTCTTCCAAAACTGATTGCCATTATGAATATTTTGGCATATTTTCTTCCAGTTTTTCTTTTTTCCTGGAAGGACATGTTCCTATTTCTGTGTATAGATGTATATAAGCAGTCACCTATGTGCTCACGTGCACACACACACGAATACATATAATCCCCTCACACATATTGCCTCACCCATTCACCTCCTCCGTACTCTCTCCCTCACTCACATTTCCTCACACCCCCTCTCCATGTCCTCATACCCCCGTAAGGACTCTCACTTATTCAAACACACATCCCCTCCCACACACCTCTCACAAACACACTCTTGAACACATACCTACCTCTTACACGCACACAGACTCACATCCACATTCGTCCTTGCGTGTACCCTGTCACAAACACAGGTCCACCCATGTACCTCACTCCCACCTCTCTCATACCCACTTATTTACATACAACCCTCTCATGCATACAGTCTCTGATCCACTTGTACACTCTCACATATGCTTTCACAAACTCTCTCACACATACCTCACTCCCGCGTCTCATACACACATTACTCATTAATATACATACCCCACAGACACAGGCGTGCAGACAAATACACCACCTCACATTACCCGTATACCTTCATATACCATACACGGTCGTACACTCTCTTCTCACACACCCCACTCCCACCTCTCTCTCTCGCTCATTCTTGCTCTCTCACTTTCTCACACACACACACTCACTCATTCATGTACTTCACATACATACCCTTACAGGCACCCATCACTTCATACACACACACTTTGACACACATCTTTTCCCAGAATTAAAAAAAATGCTTATCTTATTGCAACAGTAAAATGATACAAAGGTAAATAAAGGAAAAAATGGATCACCTCTTCGGCACTTCCTCTCCCTTAGGTAATAGAAGGAATCAGTCTGATATGTGGCACGTGGCTCACGTGTTCAGGGTGCCACATCCACATCTCACCCTTGTGCACCCTCTTCCCTTTCTGGTGGGCTGACCTGTGTGGACCTCATCAGCAATGCTCCGGCTTCTCATTGGGTTTGGGGAATGGGGCGCCCCAGCAGGAGACGGGGTGGAGGGAGGAGAGTGAGTTAGACTATTGCCCTTTCTTCCTTCCTTTGAATTCACCAGGGCCAGGCTGTGTCCCTCACCCAAAGGCCACTGCTCCCCTCCTCGCTAGGCGACTCTCTCTCGGGTTTTGGGAACTGCTCTTCCTCTCGTCTCTTCAAGTCTGGGGTTGTCACAGCTCTATGGCTGCACTGTCCCTTGTGGTTCTCCTATATCCTGCCCACCCTTTTAAGATAAAACCTCCTCTGATTATCCTAATTTGAGTGTATCATAAGTTTTTTATTGAGACTCTGACAGACACTTTTCATAGGGACCATACATATATTTTTTTCTAGAACGGGGTTCATATATTATACAGTTTTAAATATTAGTCTTATATTAAATTATGAGCATTTTCCAATGTCTTTAAATGTTTTAATAGCTGCATAATATCCCATTTCATAGTCATGCCATAATCTTAGTATTACCTATTTTTTAAAATTTAAAAAATGCAATGATGCAGTATATATTCTCTTATCTCTCGCTTTTTTTATTCAACTTTATGTTGTTGAAATTCATCCATGTTGTTTGTATGTCCCTTCTTACTAATGTATAATATTCCCTTTTATGCATGTACTACAAATTCCATCTCTCTTCCACTGTAGATGGCATGTCAGTAGATTCTAGTTTGGAGCTATCATGAACAATGTTTTATGAAAATTCGTATATACCTTTTAGTGAACATATATATTTATTTCTTCCAGGTATATACCTAAGAGTACAATGATTAGTTGCCATAATTAACTTAAACTTTCCCCTTTTGCTGTGTATTCAGGTGACTTCCTTCTTTTCCTAAAAATAATACTGTGGTGGCCATTTTTCTACCCATGTATGTAAATTATTATTTCACTAGCATAAATTTTTAGAAGTAGGATTACTTGCTAGGAGCATTTTCAAGGCTTTTGATACGCATTGCCAATTTGCCATTTTATATTCTAATCATCATGTTGTAAAGATTCTTAGGAAAACAGTATTTTTAAGTCTATATACAAATGGATTAACTTGAGGCACATAACATGATATTCTGTATCATAGATAAGCTGGATTGTCTTCAATTGCTCTATTGAGACAAAAAAGAGACTGGCTTAAATATTTTACAATATTTTCTCTACTAATGAAGAGAGTACATTCCATTGCCATTGCCATTTTTAAAAGTATCAGAAGGAGAAACAATATAGAAGACATATGAACAGATTCCAGGATGTCAGACAGCTTGTGGTATCAATACATAGCTAAATTACAATGAAAGGAACGTTAAATTCATTCATTCAATAGGTATACATTGAACACAACCTCGGGAAAACGCAAGCTGTCCAATGCTAGGAACACAAAAATGAGTAAGAGACAGTCACCTGGGTTAGGTCTTCTGTTTAAAGGAAGAATGAATGACCAAGATCAACATAGTGTTTATTGCCTGTAATGAACCAGGCTCTTTGTGCTTTGCCCTGTACAAGTACTCACTTGTTTAATCCTCCCAACGTCCTGTGAGGTAGTGCACCGCCCCATTTTACAAGAGAGGAAATTGGAGGTTAGAAAGATTGAGTGCCTTGCCTAAGATTAGAAATGAGTGACAGGATTCAAATACAGGCAGTTGGCTTGGCTTCCACCATACCATGTTGCCACCAAGCTAAGGAGACGAAAGAAAGGAAATGGACATATCTATCAGCCTAAAATTTCTTTATTCCTACTCCTCATTTTGCAAAACAACATTTATAATTCATATCAATGGTGCAAATAGACATTAATTTTGAGGATAGGTGGGGGAGGGGCAGGAGGTGGGAGGAGAGTGTGATGTTGACATGATTGATATTTGTCTCAGATCAATTAGTTAAATGCTCTCTTAGACTTAAGAGACTGACAGGTTAGGGTAATATTGCAAATTGACCTAACACAAATTGGTGATGTGTAAATATTGGGCTATTTCCAGCAGATATCAGTAGTCACCAATAATTAGAGCTACTTTGACACAACTTGGCTACTCAGGCACATCAAGAGCCCTTCAAAATAGTGGTTGCAAAACAGGACCATTTAGCAATTAAGCATTGGGTACCATTCCTGAGGTGCCTGTTTTATAGCATAGATGGGTAAGAATGCTTTTACCATTTAGAGTCAATCTACATATCTTGAATAACAACCATTTCACTAATGAAAACCCATTACAATCATCATTTTCCTAATTATTAAGCACGAAATTTGACAAATAAAATGTTCTAACACTTATTATTCTGATTAACAAGACCTATGATAAACCACAGCTACCTTGGTCAAATGCTTACCGTATCTGGAATGTAAATTATGATTAGAGCAATTGATTATTCCTAAAAAATATAGCTTAAATGAACACACACACAATGTCACATTGTATATTCCAAAGTATTATAAAGTAAAATTGAAACACTTTAACAAGTAAGCTGGGTAGGCTTTGCATCATAATCCAATTTTCAAAATAGCTAAATTTTATGGGGTGAGTTCTGTTTTCCTAATCCAGTGTTTCTCAATGGTGGTCTTATTGGCATTTTGAATGAAATATATACATTTTAAGTCACCTGAACTGGCTCATGCATTGCAGGCCATTCAGTATTGCTGACTTCTGTCCACCAAATGCACAGAGCACCCCCTCACCCTAGTAAGTGTGAAAAACAAAATTCCTTCCATGTAGTTGCAGTCATGGGGGTCGGGGGCATTGGGAGAGAATGGAAGCACTATACTGGATTTAAGAATTGGATACCGTGGACCTTGAGAGAGGATGTTGAGAACCACTGTTTTAATCAAATTTTGGCTTGAAGCAGGGCATAAAAGAAACAGGTAGAATAAGTTAAGGGAAATTTAGAACATTATAAGCAAAAGAGGACCCTACCTTAAACTCTTCAACTGCTATCAGTGTTTGCAAGAAATGTCCACTGCCCAGAAACATTCTCAGTGAGTGGTCTCCTTTGAATTATAATCCAGAGCTGTGCTACAGAACACGAAGTTTTTCTAAGGTACAGAGTGAGACTCCCTGAAGTTAGAAGAGCAGCAGTTCAGAAGAAGAGGGAAATACTGAGTGAGGTCAAATGGTGGCTGATACAGGTCCTGGGTTTGCCCCGTAGCTTCACCAAACACGTCTTCTGTGATCTCACCTCATCAGAATGCCCCTGTGCTATGTCTAGATGTATTGACACACGTCACATCGTTTAATCCTTAATTGGCTCCTTCTCTCTTGTTTCCTCCACTGACACTTTCAACGTCCTCTACTCTGCAATTAATTACATAACACAGTGACTAATTTGCATTTTACTTATGGTTATTACTTATGTTTTGAACACCCCACCTTAGTGCATGCTACGCAAAGGTCAGGGAGCTTGAGTCTTTTGTTCAGTGATGTGATCCTGTTACTTCGAATTCTGTCTGGCACTCAGTGAATGCTTGTCTGTTTTGTTATCCTTACTTCACAAATGAGAAAACTAACTCAGACATAGAGTGACACTTAGCCAGTGGTGGAGCCTGGCTTAGAGCCCAGATGATTCCGTTTTCAAAGTCCTTTGTCCCTTACTTCCAACTTTCTGCCACCAGCTACCCCCCGACCCCAAGTCTTTTCTCTTCCATAACTCTAGGTAATATTTCTAGTTCTGTGAACACCCAAGACTGGGCTAATTGGCCAGGGTACCCTAGTCTGAAGTCTAGTTATAGCAATTCTATACCCTGTTGTAATTGCTTATTTATCTGTGTTTTTCTCAAACCAGTTGGTAAGTTTCCTGAGGGCAGAGACTGAACTTTGTTCATCACTGAATTTCTAGTACCCTGCACGGGTCCCAGCACACAGTAGGCAGTCAATAAGTCTTTGTTGAGTTACGCATGAATAACATCTACACACTGACATGCTAGGACTCTCTTTTACTGTTCCATCTTCCTTCTGGAAGCAACCCTGTGGTGGCAGATGTCATGTCTGAAAAGGTGAAAGTTAGCTCGGACTATAAACATCTGCCCTGCCATTGATTAGGCTGGAATAACAGACACAGCTGAAGCCAGCTGCAAAGTTAACAGGATTCAATATTAGTCCCCAAGACACACCGCAGCTATAAAGTGTCACCTTCTTTGAGTGACTGCTGCCTTCTTACACATTGAGAAACTGCTCTCCAAAATCAGAGACTATCAGAAACTTTGCTGTTTGAAATCAGATCAGCAAGAAAGAAATATCCCTCTCTTGCCTGGAGGATTTAAGTCACTTTGACACTGAAAAACAGTCTCAACTAACAACCCAGGCGCAGAGCTTCAGATAAAGGGTTTCTGGATATGACATTGCAGAATTATCTCAAGATTAATGTTTCCAAGGAAACAAGGCTCAAGGTCCACTTAGCCATGCCCATCTGATGTTGATCCCCTTACATAAGCTCTGCTTTGTTTTGAGCCTGTCAAGATGCTTAACTCCACCCTACTCCTCTGTCCTAAAATAACTCTCTTTGCCTTTGTCTAGTGAGACACCATTGTTCCCTTGGCATGCAATCTCCCTCATTGCAATGAGTCAATAAACTCCACTTTGCTGAACTTTAAGTGTGTTGCTGGTGGTCTCAGGCTGATTGGGCTTCGACACCTTTGCTTCTGTGCTCCAGCCCAGTGGTGCTCAAATTGGCTGCACCTTAGAATCAGTGGCGGTGGGGGGTGCGTGCTGGGGGGGGGGGGGGGGGGGACCCATCCTGAGAAAATTCTGATTGAAGCAGTCCAGAAATCAGAATGTTAAAGCTCTCCAGTTAGTCTGCAGCCAGGGCTAAGAATCATTCTTCTAGCCAAAGGGATCCAGAAAACCCTGGAGTGGGCGTTAAAATTCAGTTTCAGAGGACTGCAACTCAGCCCTCTAAATCAGCACCTTTGGCTATAGACCTGAGGAATGTGTATTCTTAGTGAATACCTGAAGCGATGTTGAGGCACGTGGAAGTTTAAAGACATTGTCTGCTGGATTTACTTCCTGTCTAATTTTTATTTTTCTTGGTTAGAACAGAACCAAGAGTAACATAGGAAAGAGAAGGAACAGGGCAGGCTCTGTGCTGTACTGAATACAAAAGGCTTTTTCTCTTAGTTTATAGTCATCTTTGAGACAATTTATCTGTTCACAAGACTAAGCAGGGTGGAGTTGGGAGCCGAGACCAGGAATTGGGATAGTTGAAAAGGAGGAACACTTGACCCAGGCCTCCTGGTAACAGAGGAACCAAATGCAGAGCTTTAGGAATCTCTCTGAATGAGAATAGCCCTGCCACCATCACAAAGATGAACTGACTCCCTTGGAAGCTGATTATTGTGCATCTTTAAATCTGGTCCCATTAATAGACTACACGCCAATCATAAACTGTGATTTAATATTTTTGATCTTTTCTCTCATTTTAAAGAGCAAAATCATGTTCCATTGTACTTTTTGTGTGCTAGTAAAATTTAAAATGCACTGTATTACATTATATTCTTTCTAGAACTTCTGTTTGATCATTTTTGCATATGCTTAGGGCCTCAGAAGTTGAAAGGGACCCGGGCCTTGCTCCACCTGAAAGGCCCTGTCCGCGCCAGACTAGCTGAAACTCTTCTTTAAAAACAGTCACTGCAAATGCCCAGATGCCACCACAAGAGGGCCTCTGTGTCTCAGATAAAGTTAAGGACACTTTCAAGACTTTACAGAGAAATGTGTTTATATTGTCAAAGGACTGTTTTGTGTGATACTATAAAAAATTTTTTTAATAAAATTATTTTAGATTAGAGAGCATAAATTGGCCCATGGCCAACATATTGTAAATGTGCATCACTTTGTGGCTAACTTCTGTTCCAATATTCTGTAATGTCCAATTCCCATTTGATATGAAGAAACAAAGTTTATAGAAACTACTGCATTTATAGAGGTCTTTATGTTAGATTGCATCTTCTGTTTCTTCAACCAAATCAACAGAAATAATAATGTAATCTATTATTGATCATTGGAATTTATGTGTGCAATCTCTTTGAAATTGCTTGGAAATAGAAATTGAGACTATAAACTATTGATAATTCTATGGAATAAATGTAGTTTTCACTCACTTCACTTTTCAATAAATGCTATTGACTGACAGGATTCCTAAAGAATTATCTCCCACTTTTTGAAAGGTTCTGAATGGAGCGTTGGTATGGTTTGTCAGTACATAAAAATGGCTAACATACATTAAAAATGGATTTCTGAATTAAGATTATTATTTAAAAATAAGTGATTTTTTCGGTATATTATTTTTAGTTGTGACTTTAAAATAATATATTTCCTGAGATAAATGCTAAAAAAAGCTGAATATTATCCCTCCCACAAAGCATCACAAAACACATATGTTATGATGGCAATAAAACAGCTCCTGAACATAAAGCAAATGAGCAGCACGACTGAAAATAGTCTCATACACAAGGAAGACCACTAAAATGTGATTGAGAATATTAAAATATTTGCCACTCCTCTTTGGAGAGGATTATACATTCCTATCCCATTGATGTTACTCTTGGTCATATGATTTAGAGTGCCCAAGGAAATATGAGTGCCATGTTTGAGCAGAAGCTTTAAGAACCATTGAGTGGCTCCACCATGGTTCTTTTCTCTCTTCCTTGAGACCAGCAATGTCCCAGTGTATGCTCTTCCATTAGTCTGGATCCTGGAGCATGGAAGAGATCCACAGTCTATTTGTTACACATATGTGAAAAATATATTTTTGTTGTTGTAACTCTCTGTTATTCCAATTGGCACAGTTAATTTACCAAGCATATATCAATGCTATCAGACCTCAATGAAGAGAGTAAAGCCATGAACTCTATAAACAAGGCACAAAAAAAAAAAAAAAAGAAAAACTGATGAGAAGGGCAGCAAAAACGCAAGACTAGAATCATTGTTAGTGTTAACAGCAGACTGCTATAGCAAATGGGGGAAATTAGTCGTCCTTATAGGAATGGTAAGCCTAGATATTATGCCACTGTAGAAAGATTAATAATAGATACCAATTTATTGAGTGCCAGCTATGTGCCAAGAGCTTTCTATGTATAATTTCATTTCATTGTCATAAGCATCCTTCAATTAGATGCTATTATTTTTCTTTCCTACATGATGAAACAGGTTTTGAAATGTGAAGTTCATTCATTTATGCATTCCCTTGTGCATTTGTTCACTTATTCACTCATTCATAATTCAATCAACACATATTTATTAAGCAACTTATTACATCCCAGGTAGTGAAGTTAGGTTTTTAAACCCCTTCTTATCTGATTTCAAGGTCTATGTTCTCATCATTCCATAAAACTCTGTCGTAGGTAGAATTCTAAGATGACCCCCAAGATTTCCCACTCACTTGTCATATACACTCTGAATAATCCCCAGGACTGTGAATATTTTGGATTTAACTTCCAGGATTAGGTTATGCTATACGACGTAGTTGAGTTTATTTACTTATTTATTTTTTATTTTTTGAGGAAGATTAGCCCTGAGCTAACTGCTGCCAATCCTCCTCTTTTTGCTGAGGAAGGCTGGCCCTGAGCGAACATCCATGCCCATCTTCCTCTACTTTATATGTGGGATGCCTACCACAGGATGGCTTGACAAGCGGTGCCATGTCCACACTGGGATCGAACCAGCGAACCAGTGAACCCCGGGCCGCCGAAGTGGAACATGCGCACTTAACCACTGCGCCACCTGGCTGCCCCCACAGTTGACTTTAAAATATGGAGACGATTCAGGTGGGCCTGATCTCATCTCACCAGCTGGTTTCAGAAGGGGAAGTTAGAGCATGAAAGAGATTCCAGATGAGAAAAGTTCTCAATTCCTGAGAGAGGGGGCCACATGGCAAGGATCTAAGTGGTCTCTAGGAGAAGAAAGCTGTCCCCGATGACAGCTAGCAAGACAATAGGGACATCAGTCCTACAACCACAAGAAATTGAATTCTGCCAACAGCCTGATGGAGCTTGGAAAAGTAGCGCTAGTCATACCTCCAGATGAGGACACAGTCAGCCAACATCTTGAATTCAGCCTTCTGAGACCCAGCTTGAGCAACGGACTAGCTAAAATGTGCCAGACTCTAGACACATGGAAACTATGAGTACGTAAATAGGTGTTTTTCAAGTCAATAATTATGTGATAATTTGTTACACAGCAATAGGGAATTAATGAATTCAGCTTTAGGTTGATAACTTTGAATCATTAATAAAAGTATACTTTATATTCAGAATTATTTGCTTGAGAAAGTAGGAAATATGATGGTAGAGTTTGGAAATATTTTCAGTCAATAAAGAGCTAGGCAAAGGAAAAAGTGTTGAGAAATGGTTATAATACAGGATCAGTAGAAGCTTCCCTCTAAATCCGGAAGTTATGATTGTATTTTCTATGATTTCATGACCTAAGTCCCTTCTTTTCAAATTTATTCTATGGATTTTATGAATTTTGCCAAGTAAGCTAATCGAGTTATTTGTTGACTCTGGGTGAAGGCTTGCGGCAGTAATGATCCACCCATAATATGACTTTGAACATGAGATATTTTTCAGGGCCAGGAGTCATTTAATTTAAACATTTCCATTTAAAAAAAGTTGTTATGACTACATAAGTCTCTGCAGCAGCTGGCTAGATGTCTTCATTTTTTTCATTTATGTGAGACTCAGAGTCTATTCAAAAGCTTTTCTCGTGAGAATAGTAGGAGCAAATGTAAGGGCACTTTCATTATTAAAGTCTTTTATTTCAATGCGCATATTTCCTACAATAACTTTGACCTCTCCTCACTCATGCCTTTCCTCTGTTCTAATTTATGTAGTAAAGGTTAAACATTCTTTGAACATTTGAGATATTTTTGACGTCTCCATAATTTTTGTGCAAGATACTTTTTATTTAGCCTTAGCAGTAGTCTGTAGCAAAAGCTTCATGAATAATTTTTATTTTCCCTATTCATATATGCTTCCATAATAAAATGTCACTTAAATAAAATACATGGAAAATAAATGATCTTTATTTTAAGAGAATTCTTTCCATATTTTAAGATCTATGTGAAATATGACTTGGTATTATTAGAAGAGTTTGAACAAGATGCTACATGAAAGGATTTAAACAACATGATCTTGAAAATTTACTAAGTCTAACAAATACAAAAATAAGGCACAAATGCAGCAAACTGGTCATCCAACCTACAGAATTATGAAGTGAAGTCTTGCCATGAGAAATTATCCTCAGCTTCCTAAGTAATGGATCTTCTTGTAGCTTCTGCCTTGAAGTGGGCTCCATTATTTATTAGTATTTACTGTCAGGATGCCCTTCATCCAGGTTCCATTTCCTTTTGTTTCATTTTAATTTGCTGCATTGAATTATAGGTCTCCATTCAAGAAAACAATCCTCTACTTCTTTGTTCTTCTCGTGTATTGAGGAATGTAATTACCTTTGGATTCAGGATGTTGTTTCAATTAACGTCTCCAGTTGTCTTTTTAGAAGAGGGTTTTTCCTGTCTTGTCTGTTTGGGGTTTGCATTGTTTTGAATAGCATATAAAGAAGTTAAATTGCCACTCCTAGTCATTAAATAGAATAC